CCCTGTTGGCAGACAGGCTACTGGGCTAGATGGACCTTTGGTCTGACAGGCTATGTCTAGACTGGCATGATTTTCCACAAATGCTTTTAACGGAAAAGTTTTCCGTTAAAAGCATTTGCGGAAAAGAGTGTCTAGATTGGCATGGACGCTTTTCCGCAAAAGCACTTTTTGCGGAAAAGCGTCCGTGCCAATCTAGACGCGCTTTGGCACAAAAAAGCCCTGATCACCATTTTCGCGATCGGGGCTTTTTTGCGCAAAACAAAGCTGTCTACACTGGCCCTTTTGCACAAAAGCTTTTGCGCAAAAGGACTTTTGCCCGAACGGGAGCAGCACAGTATTTCTGCAAGAAGCACTGATTTCTTACATGAGATCGTCAGTGTTCTTGCAGAAATTCAAGCGGCCAGTGTAGACAGCTGGCAAGTTTTTCTGCAAAAGCAGCAGCTTTTGCGGAAAAACTTGCCAGTCTACTCACAGCCACCCAGTACAGCCGTTCTTATGCTCTGACCCAGTGTGGCTGCTCCGATGTTTTTAGCAATCTCTGAACTAATCATAGCCGCCTTCTCATGAGATCTTCCTGCTCAGTAACATGCTCTCCTTTGTAGGTGGGGAAACTGAGGCACAGAGGAAGTGTGATTTACCCAAGTCACAAGTCAGTACAGAGACTAGAACTCAAGTCTCCCGGTTCAGTACTCTGGTCTCCTTCATGTCCATGCTGCTACTGAAGTGAAAAGGACCAGTGACTATCATGCTTACTACAGAACAGTGTAAATCCAGACCACTTGGATTACCCAGGAGGAGATCAGCTGACTACAGTGCAATTTTGCATTGTATCCAGCATCCCGTCTGGGATTTCTAAGGCCCAGTCAGAAGCCAGGTACCAGGAGCCCAGGTCAAAGGCGTTCTTGCCAAAACTCATTTCATTTCCCAGTGCTCGTCAGGTCTGAGGCCGCTAAGGCACCACAGTGCAGCCGGCATTCAGCATAGAATTACCAGTGTCTTTCTTGGACAAGCGGGGAAATGCGGGGAGAGATTGACAAATGGGTTCCCAAACTGGGGGGGCATGAAGAAATTCCGGGGGGGCACAAGGTGACCCAGCACCACACACCCCCGTCAGTCCCACCCCGAGTTTTGCTGCTTTTGGGAGGGGGGGGGCGAGAGTTTCTCAAAAATCAAAAAGGAGACATGAGGCCAAAAAGTTTGAGCACCACTGGGCTAAGATGTGACTTTCCCACTGACTCCCCCCCGCCCCGCAGTGATTAAAAAGCAACTTGGTTTCTCTCCGGAGTTATCTGGCCTAGTGGCTAAGGACAGGCTAGGGCAGGATAAACCAGGCTTAGGTTCCGAGCCCTGCAGCTGGGTCGCAGGGTGCAGGCCACGTTGTCTTCCTGTGCCTCCGTTTTCCCAGCTGCAACATGGAGATCCCGAAAGAGCGTTGAGTGCTGCTGATGAGAAAGAGGCCGATGGGGAGGGACTGTTATTCATTTATCGCAGGGCCAGGCAACTAAGCCGTGTGCCCCAGAACGAGTGGGGAACTGTGACCCGGCATCTGCCCCGCACTGGCCCTTTAAGGCTAAACCCAGCCCTGGGAAAGGGCTGAATGCAAAGGCAGCAGCTGAGGCTGATACTGCCAGTTAGGGCGCAGCTGGGGGCTGTATAAATAAGGGCTCCAGGAGCCAGAAGAGACCCTCTTGTTACAGCAGGGGAGTAGGAAGGGCTGGGCCAACTGTAGAGGCTCTCCAAGACAGAGCAGGGCTGGGGAAAAGAAAGAAGGGCGGGTGGGCTGGCTAGCTAGCTAGCTAGGGAGCCTGGCCTAGCCTCCCTCCCAGGCTGCAGGGTCTGAGGCAAGGCCTTGAGCACCAGGGGGGCGGGTGGGCAGGCAGGCTAGGAAGAGGCAGCAGGTCCACACCCCCTTGCCTAGGCGGAGTGGCCATTTCAGAGTGCAGTTTGCCCGTGGCAGGGGCTAGATGAAGACTGGCAGTGGGTCAGTGAGGCAAGGTGGGTACAGGGGGTTCCCTGGAAGGGGAGGACCCAAGGCTGTGTCTAGACTGGCAAGTTTTTCTGCAGAAGCAGGTGCTTTTGCGGAAAAACTTGCCAGCTGTCTACACTGGCCGCTTGAATTTCCGCAAGAACACTGACTCCTACTGTCTGAAATCAGTGCTACTTGCGGAAATACTACGCTGCTCCTGTTTGGGCAAAAGTCCCTTTTGCGCAAAGCTTTTGTACAAAAGGGCCAGTGTAGACAGCTGAGATTTGTTTTGCGCAAAAGCGTGTCTAGATTGGCATGGCCGCTTTTCCGCAGAAAGTGCTCTTGCAGAAAAGTGTCTGTGCCAATCTAGACACTCTCTTCCGCAAATGCTTTTAATGGAAAACTTTTCCGTTAAAAGTATTTGCAGAAAATCGTGCCAGTCTAGATGTAGCCCAAGAGTAGAGAGATTGACACACACACCCCTGGGGGGGCGGAGAGGCACTGGAGTGGGCATGGCCAGAGGGTGGTGTCTTGAAGAGGACAGCGGGGCTTGGGAGCCATGTGGGTCCAGCATTGATGCAGGGAGGCAGCTGGTGGGCGGAGCTGAGCTAATGCCTGGCACTACCAGCAGGAGGTGCCGTGGTAGTGGTGGCCCGGTGACAGGAACCCAGACCCGATTCAGATGTGAGTAGTGGACGTTGCATGTTCTCTCCCACTGTAAGAGCCAGGAGCTGTGTTTCTGCTGTGACAGGAGTCTGGGAGGACTCAGGCCAGCTTGCAAGCTAATGCTACCATTTTTAGGGAGGGAAACTGAGGCGGGGGGATGTGACTTGGTCAAGGTCCCCCAGAAAGTCTGTGGCAGGGCTTCTCCCCCAAACTACTGGAGCACAGACCTTCTAGGGCCAGGAACTGATACCAGATCTCCTGGATCCCACCCTGTTGCTTTGACCATTTGATCCTTCATGCAGGGAAGGAGAAAAGGTCTCCTGGGGGATCACACTGAAAGGGCTGGGGCACAGGATGGAAAAGGCATTAGGCCTTTTGCTGCTGCAGGGTGAGGGCCCTCCGCGGAGCTGCGATGAACACCGTGGGGCAAAGCAAGGTGCCTTCAGAGCAGCGTTTGGGCTGGAGTAAACTTGACACTTTCTGCCCCTTCTCTGGCCTCTGGGGATCTCAAGGCACATGGAGGCATAGGCCTGGTTCTCTACCTTGCAGAACAAGCCACTGAGGCCCAGACAGGAAGCGAGCGGCTTTGAGGTCATGGAATGAGCCACAAGTGGAATCCAGACCTGACTGGCATTAGCCACAAGACCACGTTCCACTGCCAGGGCTCAGAATAGAACCTGGGAGTACTGGCCCAAAGTCTTTGCTCTCACTGCTACACCTCACTGCCCTTCTCAGGGCAGGAATGGAACCTGATGCAGGAATAAAACCTAGGGCTACGTCTACACTGCCCCCTCCTGTGCAAAAAAAAATGCAAATGAGACAAAGCATGGACTATTGCTGTGCCTCATTTGCATAACTAATGAGGCTGCTTTTGCACAAAAAGGAGCTGTCTACATGGCTCCTTTTTGCACAAGAGCCCTTCTTCCTGCAAAAAGAGGAAGGGGAGCTCTTGCGCAAGGAATAAAACCTAGGGCTACGTCTACACTGCCCCCTCCTGTGCAAAAAAAAATGCAAATGAGACAAAGCATGGACTATTGCTGTGCCTCATTTGCATAACTAATGAGGCTGCTTTTGCACAAAAAGGAGCTGTCTACATGGCTCCTTTTTGCACAAGAGCCCTTCTTCCTGCAAAAAGAGGAAGGGGAGCTCTTGCGCAAGCGGGGGGTTTTGCACAAAAAGGAGCCATGTAGGCAGCTCCTTTTTGTGCAAAAGCCTCTTGCGCAAAAACGGAGCCTTGATAATTATGCAAATGAGGTGCAGCAATATTCTATGCTTTGCCTCATTTGCATATGCTTTTGTGCAAGAGGCTATAGTGTAGACATAGCCTAGGAGTCCTGGCTCCAGAACCTCTCCTCTAGCCAGTAACCTGCACTCGCGCCGCCCCCCCTCCTGCCCCGGGGGAGTGAATCAGGTTAAGGAGCTGGACTGAAGCTGCCTGACAAATAAAGCCCCTGGAAGAGGGTTAGGCCGTGAGGCCTGGGAGCCAGGCTAATGGGCCAAAGGCAGCACATGGGGCAGGGCGGGGTCCCCTCCTTCGGTTGCTTCCAGCATTTACAACAGCCTTGAACAGGCCCCACGGCTCCCTGCGAACAAGTGGGCACAGACGTGGGTCCCCCAGGCCAGGCTTCCGGGCTAGCAACTCCCAGTCCCCAGCCTGACCCATATGCCCAGGGAAGGGGCCCAGGGAGATGCCCCTGCTAAACCAGGGAGTGTAACAAATAACGGAGTGAGGCCCTGCGGATAAAGCAGGGGGGCTGGGTGCAGGGCTCCCCCGCACGACCGTGTCTTCGCTTCATTTTCAATCTCTTCCTTCGCTGCTCCCCTAAGACCTGGGCTGGGGGCCATCAGGTTCGTTGCCCTGAGGAAGTTTCCAGGGTGGTGGGATCCACCCTCCTCCCCCCATACCAGGGACTGCCCCCTCTGCTTAGAAACCAGGCCTGGGCTTAGCAGAGGTGACCTGGCTCCCGCAGGTGAAAGGCTGGCAGGGTGAGGGACCCCCCCAAGGCAACAAAGCTTTGAGTCTCCATTCAGTCTGCCCCCTTCTAGCCCATCTCACTTCCCAGGAAGATGCTTTGATCAGCTCCCCAACCCACGCAGGCAGGCCTGTCTGCCACCAACCGCTGAAAGGAAAACGCTCCCTGGCCAGCAGCCTCGGGGAGTGAATCAGGTTAAGGAGCCTTGGACCAGCTGGATAACAGGCTGGTCTAGCACACAGGGGCAGCCCCAGGAAACGCACTAGGCTCCCGCTGCACAGCTCAAGCACTGGCTGTGGGGGTGAGATGGGAGCCCTGCCCCACAGCCAGCAGAAGACCCCCAAGTAGCTCAGCCCTGTGGCTTGTTAGGTTCAAGGAAGCAGAATAGCCGGTACCCGCATCCAGCCTGGCTCTGCCCATGTCCACACTCCACTCCACAGAAAAGTGACATCAACAAGGATATGTGGGGCACAGGTGTGGAAACTCCTCCCACCCCTGCAGTGCAAACCGTGCTGCTGTTCTGGGGGGTGGCGGAGAAATGCCTTCCTACGGCGCAGGCCGTGTCCTGGCTGCAGGTTTCTGGGGCAGCCGTGCAGCAAGTGACTGCAGCGTATGCAGCGTAGGCTAGACCCACCCTGCCACCCTGCACAGCAGAAACCAAACCTCCACATTTCAGAGACAGCCTTTTCAACCCAGAACCCCCTTACTCATCTCACATAGCTATCGCCGCAGGGAACACAGATCACCCAGCCCCCTGCAAAGCATGGGCCTGAGAAACCCGCAGCCTGGAGCCCCGGACTGAGCAGGAGCACAGCCTTACCGGGGCGGGGGGGGGGCGGGGGCACGCAGGCCATAGCTAAGGAAAGCTGAGCACTTAGGGTGTGGCCAGGGAATAGGGATCCTCGAGGTCCATTCCCAGCTCTGCTACCAGACTCCTGAGTGATCTGGGCCAAGTCGCTTGGGCCCAGCCCCTCTGAGGCCCCTGCTTCCCAAACAGGGTATTAGCCCAGCCCCACAGAGAGAGAGCGGGAGGCGCCCAGATGCCCCAGTGAGGGGCCAGAGGCAGTGAGAGAGAAAGCTGTACGGGGAGTCTGCAGGGACTAGGTCCATGTCTGTTCACATCCATGGTGTAGCCCTGCTAGCCGCGGGGAACCGCCCCAGGGTGTGCTGAGCGCAGACTGCAGGCTCCGGGGATGGCGAGCTTCCAGCGACCGCGTGGCTCCTGTATAAAAGCCGCCAGAGCAGGGGCCTGCAGCTTCCATCCCTTCACAGCCCCACAGAGGAGTTACAGGACAGTCCTTCCCAGTACTTTTTATTAAAGCGCAGGATGGGGGGCAGGGCCAGGCCCCACACACACACACACACACACACCCTCCCCGTGGCTGGAGCCAGTCAGGGGAGCTGCTCAGAGAACAGGACATTTGGCATCTCAGCTCCACAGGCCCAAGCTGCCCCCTTCCGCTCACAGCCAGGCAGTTTGGGCTCCACTGCGTAATTCACGCAGGCAGCTTTTCCTAGGCACTGCCCCAAACTCCACCGGAGCCCCCAACTCTCGGGGGCTGGAGGGGAAGGGGAAACTAGCAATTCACAGAATCCCTCACCGGGGGTCTGACCGAGAACCACTGTGCTGCCCCCCACCCTTCAACCTCCTTCCCAGTGACAGGACGGAGACGGCTCCGTTTCTGACAAGAGGCAGGTTAACCACCAAGGGGTAAGCTGCTCCCATCCCTGCTACAGGCCAGGGAGTGTTTGCACAGGAGACGGAGGAGGATGAACAAGTCCAAGGAGGTAGCTGCAAAAGCACCGTGGTCCAGGGACAGAGCTGCCCCCATCCCTTGGTTCCTACAGGGGGCTCCCAATGGAGCGGGCTGGTGCAGTTTTGGCCAGGCGTGGGCGATGGGAGTCTGCAGGAGCACAAGGACGGTGACAGCTCCAAACCCCCTGGCCCAGGTCACAGGGTAGACTTGCTGGGGTGGCCCTTCTTAGCTCCCTTCTCCGGCGCCGTGACCACGGTCAGCTTCTTGGGCAGGCTGGTGCTGGCTTTCATCATCGCCTCGTGTTCGATCTTCTTCCGGATGCCGACTTCCAAGTTCTGGGGAGGAAGGGGGCCAGGAAACAAATTAACCCAGCGGCTCCTCAGGGAGGGAAAGGGCAGCAGCAGCAGCCATTTAAGCAGGGAGCTCAACGAGGTCACACACTCGCCCCTGCCCAGCCCACGCCTCCCTTCCCCACTCCGCAGGTCTCAGCCTGAGCAACCTTTGGAGGAGAGCAGGATTCACAAACAGGAGTCCCGGCGAACACGACCCATGCCCAGGCCTCGCACGGTCCCATGATTAGCTGTGGCAGGGTTGTGGCTAGTGCTCCTGGCACGCAGTTTACAATTGAGGGCAGGTGACAGAGACTGGTAGAGGGGCACAAGGAAACGATACTGGTCACTGTCGTACATTCAGCCACGTGGAGAGGACAAAAGCGGCCCGGAGCGAGTTAGGCCACAGAATTTAAATCCAGTCCACTCTCTCCAGGTACATTTCCCACTCTTCTCCGCTTCCCAGTCGCACTACGTGGCTGACCTGTCACACATGGCTCATTCTAGCTCTCTCCCCAAGGAGAGAAATCGACCGTAGGGCTGAGGAGAGCAGCCCCCCTCCTACCCCACTCTGACAGCCAGTCCAGTTCCTACTAGCGGGTAAAACCCACTTCATCTAATAAAGTAATTTCTACCCACAAAGGCTTATGCCCAAATTTCTAAGGTGCCACAGGACTCCTCATTATTCTTCCAGAATAATATCTGTGGAAACATACTAAATGAATATCACTAGTTCTGGATTATCCTGTATCTCTGTGGTTTTATTGAGATCTAGGCTGAATGCTAGAGAATTCTTTAGATCGTTTTGTATCTTGTTTGCCACGTCTGCACTGATCTGGGAGACATACCACTCTGTAGCATGAAACACAAACGGAATTTATTAGTTTCTGAAGTTTTATGTTATTTGGATCTTAAATTCTTCTTCATAACGTGGACATTTAGCACAAGCAAAATTGAGGGACATAAAACTAGCTTTGGTTGCTGTGTCTGCTTTTCTGAATGCCAAAACTAGTGTCTGCTGACTGTTTAGGCATAATTTTAATGCCGTTAACTTGCTTTTCCTTAATTCCAATTCAGGATATTTAGAGGAAGAGTTATTGTGATTTGTTTCACAGTGATGTTTTAAGTTGCTCCCTTTGTGGTTCGGTTGATGCACTGGCACCTTTAACAATAAAATGCAAAATCTTCCTCCCAGTCTGGCTCAAAACTCTGGCTCTTTTACAATGAAAAGATATTCTTATCTACAAAGTTAATGCAGAGTTAACACTTCAATCTAAAACTATTCAAATGTGATTTATGAGCTGTACGCAGCCTGTATTCTGTGGAATGCAGGAAGACTGAGCAGACACATGGTCCGCACAGAAACTGTGTGAACACACTGACAACATTTCCTAAAATAATGCACGTGAGCATCTCTTTCTACCGACCTCACTAAGTTTTGAAATTCTTTCAACAATTTGGACAGCTTCCACGTTCATGTTAATTCCAGCTGCAAAGTGCGTGGGACCAAGTTTTCTCCATGAGCTGTACTTTATAACCTGCACAAGAATCCCGCTGTGGCGCAAGGGCTGCAGTTCGGCCCTGCCTGCTCTAACCCAAGCTGCTGTTTGCTATCCCCGCGCACCTCACCTTTTTCAGTTTCTGCTGCTGGATCACACGCGCTTTCTTGGGAGCGATCGTGCGGCCTGGGGGAGAGAGGCGGGTGATGAGCATGCGGAGCCAGGCAAGGAGAACTGAACTGCCCCAGGGTAGGAAGCCCGGCCTGTTGACCAAAGAGCTTGCGAGACAGCAGGGCCCGGGGAAGGACGGGGTGAAAGCCTCTGCCTGGGGAGGGCAGGGGGGGCTCTCTGGGCTGGGGAGGGATAGCAGCCACGCCCCCGCGGCCAGTGCATGCCGGGATACAGAAGGGCAAACCCCGCCCAGTGCATGCCGGGATAGAGGAGCAGCCACGCCCCCGCGGCCAGTGCATGCCGGGATACAGAAGGGCAAACCCCGCCCAGTGCATGCCGGGATAGAGGAGCAGCCACGCCCCCGCGGCCAGTGCATGCCGGGATACAGAAGGGCAAACCCCGCCCAGTGCATGCCGGGATAGAGGAGCAGCCACGCCCCCGCGGCCAGTGCATGCCGGGATACAGAAGGGCAAACCCCGCCCAGTGCATGCCGGGATAGAGGAGCAGCCACGCCCCCGCGGCCAGTGCATGCCGGGATACAGAAGGGCAAACCCCGCCCAGTGCATGCCGGGATAGAGGAGCAGCCACGCCCCCGCGGCCAGTGCATGCCGGGATACAGAAGGGCAAACCCCGCCCAGTGCATGCCGGGATAGAGGAGCAGCCACGCCCCCGCGGCCAGTGCATGCCGGGATACAGAAGGGCAAACCCCGCCCAGTGCATGCCGGGATAGAGGAGCAGCCACGCCCCCGCGGCCAGTGCATGCCGGGATACAGAAGGGCAAACCCCGCCCAGTGCATGCCGGGATAGAGGAGCAGCCACGCCCCCGCGGCCAGTGCATGCCGGGATACAGAAGGGCAAACCCCGCCCAGTGCATGCCGGGATAGAGGAGCAGCCACGCCCCCGCGGCCAGTGCATGCCGGGATACAGAAGGGCAAACCCCGCCCAGTGCATGCCGGGATAGAGGAGCAGCCACGCCCCCGCGGCCAGTGCATGCCGGGATACAGAAGGGCAAACCCCGCCCAGTGCATGCCGGGATAGAGGAGCAGCCACGCCCCCGCGGCCAGTGCATGCCGGGATACAGAAGGGCAAACCCCGCCCAGTGCATGCCGGGATAGAGGAGCAGCCACGCCCCCGCGGCCAGTGCATGCCGGGATACAGAAGGGCAAACCCCGCCCAGTGCATGCCGGGATAGAGGAGCAGCCACGCCCCCGCGGCCAGTGCATGCCGGGATACAGAAGGGCAAACCCCGCCCAGTGCATGCCGGGATAGAGGAGCAGCCACGCCCCCGCGCCCAGTGCATGCCGGGATACAGAAGGGCAAACCCCGCCCAGTGCATGCCGGGATAGAGGAGCAGCCACGCCCCCGCGGCCAGTGCATGCCGGGATACAGAAGGGCAAACCCCCTCCCAGTGCATTCCCAGTGCATGCAGGGATACCCTTCCCTCACCAAGGGGGGGTCAGGGAGCCCAGCCCCTCCCAATTCCAGGCTCCAGGGGGCACCTGGGGCCACATGGAAAACACCCCCCCCCCC